TCTTTTACTAACTTTTCTACTAAGACAGTATTATTCGTCACTATTCTTGAAGTCAAGCTTGCGCGAATTTGTTCATGTTCACTTTACCGACTTCACACACTATCACAATGGGTGCGTTTGGCAGAAAAAAGCGCTAGCAAGCGCTTACAAGCGCTAAAATAGTTTTCGGCCAGGACACGATTGCTACTTCAGTAGCGCTGACATAATCCGCCATTTTGCTTATTTAATTTTTTTGTTTTGAAGTAGAGTTTAAAAGTTGTTTTGTGCAATATTAGTTTTAAGTAATATAATGACATGAATAAACATATACATGTTATTAAAAATTCATGATTGGTAAGTTTTTAATATGAATACTTTACAAACATATATTTAAATTAGGTTAGGTTCCCCGGTTAAAACTAACATCGTGTCCTAGAGGAAAATAGCTACTTACGATTTGACAGCACTTATCGCTTACGATCGCCATTTTGCTTACAAGCGCTTGCTAGCGCTTTTTTCTGCCAAACGCACCCACTGAAAAGTTGTATAAAGGTTTATTCTTATTCATTATCAGGTATATATCAGTTAGTGTTCACCTTTTCAATTGCACTTAAATATTCCGTCGCTAAACTAGTTTTTAAATTAACTGTTTTAAAATAATACTGATGAACATATTAGGTTTCACAAAAAAAATATTTAGATAGTTCCTAGTTGGTTTTAGAAAATTTGAGCAATCTAAAAAGAATAAAGTGAGTTTTGGAAAAAAATATTTTCTGTAAATTTTCAGATGCGAAAGATGAGAATACGAGGCTGCTTAAAATGATATATCTAATCTAGGACTTAGCAATTCAAGAAAGTGCAGATTTTGTTCAAGAGAGCACCTATGCACATTCTTTCTTAATGTCCTAATGCGCAAGCGTAGCGTCCATCTGGAAAACCACTTCTTTTATTTTAATTATTCCTTAGTGTTCAATAATATACGAAGAGCGGAAATGCCTTGAGGCATTTCCAATCCGAATCAAGAATATAGAATATAAAAGAAAATAAAAATGATAATTAACCGCGTAGTATACACATTTTACCAATAATTAAACTTTACAAATTGAACTTGCAAATATAATTAGCAAGACGTACCACCTTCCTACGCCCAGAGGAAGTAAAAGGTCTCACTCCTGATATTTATTAAAAGTGTATGGCTTAGCAGTGATCACAATCGATCATGCAGGTTGCAGTGAAACTGGTCTTATTTTATGACCTAAGTAGTTGCCCCTCGTATTTGAAAACTCGTTCGTATGTTTGTTCTGAAATATGTCATCTAGATGCAAAAACTCAAGTCTAAAACTAAACTAGAATAAAAAATGAAGTATGCATCCTTTTAATCAAAGAAGAATGACGGATAATGAAACTAAAACTATCAAAACACAAGCTTGTATAATATGAATTTAAGCTAAAGGTACTAAAGTGAAAAGTTTTCTTCAGCTTACGTAAAATTTAATGGCCGCGATACAACATTGTTGCGAAATCGCTTAGAGGGTTATAATAGTACGAACATTGAAAGCGTGCCGTGAAGTCATGCATGAGTTGACGTTAAAATTTATTTCCGGTTAACAGACTTGACAATGTTGCTGCTTTGTTGGTCGGCACAAAAGGCCAAGTCTTAGCAACACTATACAAGTTTGTTTACCTAACGTTATTTCTTTACAATAGGAAATTCCAGTTGCGCTTCTATTTGATAGCACGTAGCTGCTGTAAATAACGCTTAGTATTAAGTTAGGTTACAAATCTTGAATTGCCGAAAATTATTGATTGTGCAGCAAGTAATGTATTATAGAGAGCGCAAAAAAAACAAAGGTTATATCGCGCCATCATTTTCTGAAAAAAAATTTGTTTTCTATAAATATATTAATCATTTTTCATTTTTGTCTCAACATATGAAGCATATTGAGCAAACGAAGAAATATTTTCTTCTTTAATAATGCAATTTATTTATTTATTTAACAGTTTATGTACACACAATTTCTAAATATTTTCACATTTAATTGTGTATCATACTATATTTTAAATTGATATTTAAAGAACCTTGCTGGGTATGTTGCTGGTACCTACCAGGACAGCGGATCGTTTTCTGAACTCGTAGTAAAAGCATAAATGAAAAGATAAATATTTCTTGTAATCTCTTGCAATCTCTGAAAATTTAATCTAGAACTATATTACAAAATTTTCATATTAGAATGTGTAATAAGTGCATTATACGAGTATTTCATGTATGTATCCATACTACCATAGTTAAAATAGTTTTTTTTTCGTTTGGTTGAAAAAATATCTTTGTAACATAGTGGTTGCCATAATAAATTAGATTTTTTTTGTGTCTTAAGTGATTTGTCATTACCTCAATCAGTTTTTTCAGTATGCGGAGAGGCCTTATTGTTCATCATTTAGTGGTAGCGTAAGAAAGATCTATTACATCACGTCCTAATTATCATAATAGGCGACTAAGGGATATAACGGACCGATCTAGTGTCCTCCTCTGGATGACAATTTACCAAATACATATAATGTTTTGTATGTACCGGATGTAAAAAAACCAAAATTAGAGGTAAGTCTGAAGTTAGGAAGTTTTAGTCAGTCCTGCGCCTGATCTCCTTTCGATCGTGTTGGATTGCCTTCCTATCGGACCGAAAGAGCTAGGGATTACAGAGAGCACCTGTTCTTGTGCACATACTCATACACCAGTATAATACAGGCTTCTGCAAATGTCAAATCTCAGTTGAGTGGCTACCGTGACCAAAATTCGATCTGAAGGTCATTTTTGCGGATCTTTTACGCATGGTTGAATACTACTTTTTTAAAATGATTGTAACATTTGCAGAATAGTGAGATAATTTATCGCTAATATTTTGTAAATAATTTATTTTTAATTATTATACATTTGTTATTTATTACATAGTAGACATTATGTATATTTTACTAACTTTATTCTATTTATATGCATTTTATTGTACTAAAGTATTATCTTTATGAAGTGAATTGTTTACTCCTTGGTACCTTTTCACAAATCATCCAGGGTTGACTAGTAGAGAATGACATGAGACATTTAGTTCGCCCTTTATATCCTAATGTGTATGATAAAGATAAAATAAATGAATAATGTTCTTGCTACTCTAATATTATGTTTAAATATAAAGCACTTGAAATATCTAACACAGCTTACTTTATAATAATAAATCATACCGTAGGTAAGTATAGTATGGACAGATTCACGACGCTGAGCCATTTTTCATGTTACGGGACGTGTTTATAAAACTTATGTGTTGTTTTATATCAAAACACGTTTAGTAAAAATGTTATGTAGACTAAAGTAATTGTCTTGGATTATGTAAACTAAGGTCTTCATGTGTTCTACTACTGCGTATTTTTTTATACTTCACCGGTTGGGCATTTACTTCTGGCGGTAAACAGAATGGTTATTTCTCTACCACTGACTACAGATCTTTCTAGGATGTACCATAGTCGCTTCTTACGATATACACGGGATAAAATAATTGATTTGATTGATTGATAGATTTCTAAATATGCTGCCACAAAGCACACTTTCTAGTTACGTTCTTACTTACATAAACACTTACATATGGTACCCAGAGGGGAAGGCAAAGATTATGGATTTCCATTTGGCACGATTTTGATACAAGCCTTTCGCTACCTACGCGTACATGCCAGTCGGTTGGGTACTCTTAATTTGATCTACCTTCATTATACGCTAAATTGGTTGATAAACTTCTGTCTAGGTCTCATCTCAACTCGGTCATACAAAGTTTGCTTGCTGCTTCAAACAATACAAGATATATTGAAATGTTGAGAATGTATCTCAACATTTCAATATATTTAACAGGCCCATACTCCGATGTACCTGGTCAGCGCATTTTTCACTGCAGCTTCGATGCCGCTGTATAAATAAATCCCGCACGCCTGCGCGCGATACCGTCGAACGGCTAAATTAATCTATCGCGAGCACAATGCACGATATTTATTGCGAATTTATTACAGCACCACCCCGCCCTGCGGTAACGATCACGCCTTTGTGATAGATTCCCGGTCTGCGAGTATCTTTTCATCGAATGTGAAATGAACAACAAATATTACGTTGCTTTAAAACCTGATAAATATCTTATTGCTACGTGATTATAGAACTACTTTTTGTAGCTGGTATATGATAGTTTGGTTGCACAGTGAATAAGCGGTTGGCTGCGGCGGGCCGTATGTGCCGTGAGTTTGGATGCAGTGCGGTCAATCATGTAGTTAAAAAACTTCATTTTTTATGAAATCGTATTGAACACTTTAAGAAACGATTCCAGAGTCAAAATTAGGCATTTACTTCCTTGCTACCAATTAGGGTTATCCTATAGCCTGTACCTGCTTACATTGTGCAAACTTATGTTTTTACTTATGTAAAAAACGAGTACACAGTCCACCTGATGATAAGTGGATGCTATGTTCCATTGATTTCTACATCTATCAACGATTAAGAATCAAAATGCAGATGCGTCGTCACCCCTGAGGACTAAGATGAAATGTCTGTGTGTACAAAGTGTCTCAGATTCTGCTTCACTCACCATACGAAAAAAAAAACAGCATTATGTTAATATTTTATGCTAGTATTTTAATGAAGCGTGATCCTCTGCCAATTGAACAGATGTAACCGCAGTGATGTGGCACTGCCACATTAAATTTCTTCATTGTGAGAAATTTTACAATAGACGAAAAAGTCACAGGATCAATAAAATAACCCATTCATCATAACAATATTATCAAGGGTTTTTTTTGATGTGAACCGTCTTAAAGTGGCAGCATAAGAGAATCTCGATCGAAATCGACAGAGGGAAATGAAACTGGAGGGCATCTTCCTGATGACAATTAAATATTATAAAATATGTAATTTTATTCAATCCAAAATAATACAACATTACATATATTATTAATTACTATAATTATTAAATTATTCTAACATAAAAATATACAACAAACTATTCAGTTGTCGTTATCCCTTCCGAATGACCATTTGTTGCGCCTGCCTGGTCGGAATTCGTCGATTGATCGTTACCACTAGAGGTTGCTCTTGCATTTTCGCCACCGATATTAACATTGCCAGACGTAACAGTACCTCCCGCAAAAGTAACAGTATCTCCCGCAGAAGTAACAGTACAATTGTCGTCACTACTTGCTGTAGTATCTGTAGTTTCATCATAGCCACTTTCTCCGATTTCATTTACACTGTGATAGTCTTGGGCCCTGGCCCTGGCAGTAAATATGCACGTAGCGACGCATTCGTATTCATCTTGAAACATATTTAAATTTGGCAAGCAACCCCGCCAGAGTCCTACCTCGCATCTGGAACCGGGCTTCCAGTAGTACATTACTCGCACAGGCTCTTGTCCACAGTCATCCCAATTAAAATTAGCAAAACAGGCTTCCGGTGGCACTGAAAATATAATAAAATATTAAAATGAAATTTTAAAAATACTGTTTAAACTCTACGGATACAGTTTTATTCCGATGCTGTAATTTTTTCAAATGTGTCATCATTTTGCTGTAAATTGAAGAAACGAGTAGTGCGCGTTTTATCAGGTTCAGGAAACAGATACAATAGTTAAACAATTGAAATGTTAATATGTGTTTCATGGTACAGGTAAAGGGTTAAAATAAACGGTTTGAGCTATTTTATATGATAATAAATGTAATACTATTATTCTACAAAAAAGTGCTACGACAAAGAAAGCTTTATTGAAGAAGAATAGTTATCGCAGTGAGATAAATATAAAAATCCGAACAAAATCCCAAAAACATTCGGTATGGTTACAACAAATCTAAAATAGTTTCAAAATGTACTGACAATAGACTGCAATGAGCTATTCACTTATAAATGTATTAATGTGAAAACAGAAAAGAAACTGTTGATAGTACTCTTTCAAAACTATGATCATAATAGCGAATAGATTGAAAACTTCAATTAATTGTTATGCATGAAAGTAAAATATTACAACATGCAATATTACTATACTACGTGAATTATCGGTGCATTCACTATTACATTTAATAAAGAATATATTTTTGTGATTTCAACACTAAATATTGTTAAATACTCTATTTATTTTACAATGAACAAGCATAATGTAGAAGGTATAAAATTTTATTAGGCAACGCAATTTACGCAGACTTTAATGACTAGAAGAACATTGTGGGTACGTTACCTAGACGGTTGTAATTACAGACATAACAATATTATAGTAGAACGGTAAGTAAGATGAGTTTATTTATTCTCTTGGATAATGACCGGTACATTGTTATTTTATTATATATCATACTTGAGGGATTAAACTTTTGTTGAAGCTTCATTAAAGATCAATTAGAAACTTAAATCGTGTATATAAATCACTTATAATCCTACTTTTTCACAACAACTACTACACGCTTGTGTAAATATTTTGAATGTCATACAAATTATAATGAAAAAAGTCATAGGTTATTACTCTGAAATGTATATTCTAATTTCTATCATTCATTAAAAGCTGCTACTTAGTTATATGCATTTTTTTTCTCAAATGTGTAATATCTTTAGCTGTTACGGTGTTGCAACAATTTTATTTTTTACTATTGTAAATTTGCTTTGCCATAATTTAAAAGTAGACTATAATCCTGTGTCAACTCTAAGGATACACACCAGTCTCTAGATGAAGTCTATTTACATTAAAATGTAATGATATATATGTAATTATATATGCGCATCTGGTGTCCTATGGTTGTATAAATAAACAAATAAACATATAAATAATTGTACATTGTTTAAAAAATTTCCACTCGTACTCAATAAACCTAGCTTTATACATTACATTATAAAAGGAAATTTTTCAAAATAAAAAATTAAATACGTAATGACAAAAGAATGGGACGATTATTTTTTTATTTTTTTGGTTTATGAATGACAAAAAACCAACTAGGATGACGACGTACCTGCTTCAATCCATACGAAATAGACGATAAAAACCAAAACAATCTCCATAAACATATCCATAACGAAAACCTGATGAAAATGGCAGCCATGTCGATAATTGGCATTTAATTGCGTTCGAATTCATTAAGATAAGGCGAAATTGTTCTCGTGCGTAGTAAAACTTATATGACGTGCTTACTTTTAACTGCCGAGCAGATAAATATATACACTATCCCACAACAATTACAATCCGTTTTATACTAAGATCATCACTAAAATACGGTGTCGTAAACACGACGCTTTTGACCATTACGTGTACCCATGGTAATTATGGCAGCTACATGGGACGCGTTATCTTGCGCTATTACGTTATAATGGGTTCATTACAATACGTTAAAATATTTTGCACTATTTATTTGTTTTTGGCATGTTTCAACTTTAAAATTTGTTATTATTGTTCTTCACTTTCTTCTGCACTTGGAACAATAACATTAGGAAACTAAATACATTTTCATACGTAAGGAATAAGACATACCCTATAGCTGGTATATACTAGGAGTATATTAGAAATAAATAACTATATACATCACGCACCTTTTCATTCCGTTCATAAGTACAATGGCGGTTAGGAACCATATATTTACTTTCTAAGGCTTGTTAAAATAGTAAATTTTTTCGTTAAAATAGTAAAAAGGAAAGGTTTGTCATTAGCTTAAATTTTGTTAATTTTTGCTCCTTCATAAATGGGTTTCCGCTTAGTCTTGACAGGGGCAGGGTGTCTATGGATTTGTACCGGCATATTATGACGAACTCACATTGCTAGCCCTAGAAAAATGCCAGGTTCTGATGGTGCTTCTGAGGGGCTTGATTAACCCTTTCCGGGTGCTTGTTGGCGTACTCCACCTCGGCCACGGTAAGCATGGTGAGCCTTAAGTGGACTGGGTCTCTACTTAGTCCATCTAAGTCGCAAGACAAGAGGAGTGTTGGTATAGGCGCCATTCACCCTATCTTTCGAGACACTCTGGGCCATCATTACACATTTTCGAACGATAATGTAATATATATTCATTACTAGTTGAGTTTGAGATGGATATGATCGTCACGAACCGTGAAATGGAAGTGTAAGAATATCCACTTCCCCTATCGTCCCATGGATGTCGTAGGATGCTACAGAAAGTAACTGAAATAGTACATTGGCAACAACATATTTTTGATAATAACACAAAAATATATTTTTACTATTGCCAACCGTTCTGCCAAGCACAGTAAATATGTTCTATCCCTCATATAAGGCAATCTATAGGGGAAGACCCACGTTCAGCAGTGAACTTTTATAGGCTGTAATAGAATGGAATGGAATGGTCGTCTTGTGAGTATCGTAAGAGGCGACTATGGAATAAGTCAGAATGCTCTTATGGCCTTTGATAGATGACGGTAAAACCATCATCAATGGTGTGAGACGATTAACGCAAATTACTAGTTTTCGAGTAATTTGCCTTTTTTACGTTCATCATACGATTTAATAATGTCCTCCTGACCGCATTTCGTTCACGGCGGAAGTCTCAACGGAGACCAGCTTAGGTCTGCCCCACGGCAAACCAGCTGAATCTGCGCAGGTCATAATTATAGAGGATTATAGTCCACGAGTGTGCGTGCAAACATAAGTACACTCTCTATTCCCTCACTCCAATAGTTCGATGCGACGGAAAAAAAAAAAAAGTCATCCAAAGCACCGGTGTGAAACAGCGCCAACTTCCTGACTACGGGTTGCTACTGAAAATTTCTTGACGAAAATACTCAATAACTGATTTTGGCCCGGCACGGGATTTCAACCTGGGGAAACTAACGTTCGTTACGCTACAATATATGAACTAATTTAGAACTGGTGAAATAATTACAAGCAATCAATTGTAGCGTGAACTTTAATAATAAAGGGACTATAATAACTGAGTTCGCCCCTCCGCACCTAACTAATTATTTAGACATTTATCCGATGAACATACTCGTCTTTTGTTTGCTCGCTCAATTTCTATCTGCCTGTTAACGAGATTATATACTCCGTATTGTGAAAAGGAATTACGTTAGAAATTGTTTCTCCATTGATTTCGCAAAAAGAAATGTAAATATTAATTTGTACAAAATATTTAAAAAAGCTGCAGTAAAATGTTTATTAATATTGCCATTATGTTCGGTATATGCTGTGAGAGATTCTTGTGCATTCCTGGACACCTGGTAGATAATTGCACTAGCTGTGCATTTTTTGGCGGACTTCAAAAGAGTAAATATCTTCTCGAATCGAATGGAACGATCACCAGGGTAATTATAGGTGCGTTGTCGGCCTTTTAAATAAGCTCACTATAATAAGCCTAATAACCTCGTTTATTAAAGGTCCCTAAGTCTAGGTTGGTATTGCAGTTATTTATGGGAGGTGGTCTACACTTAGCATCAAGCAAGCCGCATGCTCGTTTGCCCCTCTCCTGTAGAAAAAATGTCTAATGTATATTTTTTTGTATGTATGTTAAACGATACCTTCGCCACTGTGAAGTGATTTCAATGAATATTTTCTTACTAAATAGGTTATTCCTTAGGGATGGCTCCATATTAATTTTGTAGCAACATTAATCACCTAAGGGTGGCAAAATTTTAATGCACAGCTTAAGAATGAAAAAAAATAATTTTACATTCTGAAGTCGGTGCTAAGAGATATTATACAGATAATTAAAGAATTGAAGCCCATAATAGAAGTAAATAATATGTACTATGTACCAATGAAAATAACAAAGAAGTACACAAACCCCAATGGTAAGTGAATTTTGTAACCCTTAGACACCTCGATTAAGAATAAAATTGGAGATTTGTTGTTACCCATGAGGGCTAAGGTGAAGGTATTCCTAAATTTTGTAAAATTTTTAAAACGAAAGTAAAACAAATGTATAAATTAAAAAAAAAAAAATATAATTTGAATTTCAACTGGTGGTAAGTAGTGATGAAGCCCTAGATTGAAAATCGCATTGTCCTTAGTGTAACAATAATCTATGCACTTTTGCCTTAAACCCATGAAGACACCTTGTGATTGGACGGAAATGGAAAGATATACGCAAGAAAATTATTGCACTCCTTCGCTGTACGCATTATGGAAGACGTAGAAAACAGTTTAGTAATCCGAATATCGACAACAAAAAGGGTTAAAGAATCTTTGACCGCCTAGTTGTATGTATATAGTTCCTGCTCACTCTTTCCGACATGCATTCTATAATCTATAGACTAATATTAATATAATGGTTTAGCAAAAACTATTGAAAGGACTCCTTCACGCGGTACAGCCATGCTGCAGCTATATTGTGGTTGCGGTTGCTATTTGTCGACCACGGTAGGACCAATACCATCGTAAAATAGCAGCTAAATGCTGTTGTGTTTCGCATGGTA